CCGCTAATGCTCACACACTCGCCGAAATGCTCATTCATTATTCAAACCGTTGTTTCAATTGGCACTGCCGCTCCACCACGAATATTTTAACGTTCTGCTTTTCCACTCTTGCGATTAAATTGTTTTCATTGGCCAAAATCTACGTGGATTTGTGGTGATTTACTGGAACAAATGGAATGGAAGTTTTTTTTTACAATTTCAGTATGTTATTTAAACAAATGTACAAGTTTTCAAAAAATTACAATAATATGTTTTTACCTAAATTATCTTTGATGGTTAAAAGCTGAAGACAAAATTGGAAAATTAGTTAAAATAATTGAATAACTATTATGTGATAATAAATCAACAAACTGTCACCGGTATTTGATGAAAAGTCTAAAGAATTTTTTTCACACTCCTCACTAATGTAAACAAATCCATAAATAGCAGCGAATATTTCCTGAAAACCACTTGCATTAACCTACTCAGAAGTTTAATTTAATAATACATAACCATTTTATAATTTTTATAATAGTATAATGAGTAATTTTATACTAGAACGTTCATTTATGCGAAGTAAATTGTTACAAAAGTGAAAAATTAAAAAAAGGCAATTTTTTTTTTATACATTAAAAGAGTGAAATTTTCATCTCAAAATAGTTGCATTAGCGAGACCCTGGCATTAATTTTTTTTTTATTATAATTCGTTCACAATTTAAAAATATTCTCATGATCTTTAACTTGTCTTTCTTATGCTTTTAATAAATAATATCATTCTGCAAACGAGTTTTTAACACACAGGAAGTAGTTTTCGTATTCTGTGAGGGAAGTGCAAAGCTCATCAAATAGAGATTTACAGTCGAAAAATGGCCAGAACAAATAAGCTGTGCGAGCATGAAACATTGACCACCCCAGCAGTTTGGTGCGCGCAAAAATTCAGGCCACGAGTTAATCCTCTTTGCCGGACCAAAGCAAGCGTTGATCACTACAGTCTTTGCTCCCTCATTCATACATGTTGCGATCTAGTTGCACAAAAAGGGACTCAAAGTCCGTCGGCAAACACTCTTTTTGCTCAAAAGAAACATGAAGCACACACATGAGAGTGGGTAAATATTTTGCAACCAGCGTAAAAATGTTTTCCCTCCACTCGTCCGGCTTTGAGCACACACGAAATTATTTGTCCCTCCTTGACGATGTTGAGTGACCACCGCGGCAAATTGCTGGTCCATTTTCCTCTTCAGTTGGAGATGATAAGTGAGTGCTCTTGAACTGCACTGATTGAAAATTGCCTATATTTTGTGCAATTCTTTTTTAAAGAATAAACATCGCTTTTTCTGAAAATTTCGTCATAGATTTCCATCTGTTAAAAGTTCAATTTTTAGGAGAATGCGGCGTCTTTTCGAACGGGCGGATCCAATCTCGTCAAATCCATCAGAGGACGACGAGGTACTTCAAGGTTTTCACTTCCACTGATAGAAAAGACTAAATAAAAATAAGTTGACGAGACGACAATAGATTGTGAAATTCGCCTTGCGAGCGCGACCTTTTTTCTACATCTTCCTGCCGGTATTCTCTTGAGAGATAACATTTTTCCTTTTACGCACATCAACAGGAGAGCGGAAGAGAGAAGCCGGAAAATGGTATTGCCTCCCTGCGAGAGAGAGAGATGATTATTAGCTTTGTAAAGTTCGATTTGTGAGTCTTCGACGTTACATACACGGGACATATCCTGCCAAACTCCCTTGAGTTTTGCCGGCAAAAATGCTGCCCTTCAGATCCTGTTAACAAATGGCGAGAGGGTTTGAGAAAGAGACTCACTAAAGCGACTAATGGACCGATTTGACGCATTTCTTTGTTAAATAATATTTATTTTAAAATTCTTCATTCAATGATTTGTTCCAAAAATTTATAATTTTTGTACCACATAAATAAGAATTTCTGATATTTAAAAAAAAAATGAATATTTATAGCAGATTTGCAAATAAATATTCACATTAGTTTTGAAGAATGAAAAGGAAAAAAAATATGATTCTCTCTAATAGGTTCAGACATAGAAATTTTTCGCTGATTATTTGTGTTTTTAAAAATAAATTATTTCGTGCTTAAAATAAAATATTTTTTTTTTTTAAATTCATGGATGCAAGTTTTGTGAACATTGTATTTAATTATTGTTCATTTTCTGTCATTTCTTCTCCCCTTAAAACTGTCTTATGAGAGCGTAGGCAAACTGCTGCGCAAGGAAATCGTGCAGGTTGCCTACTTCAAAACGCATTACAGTGGCGTCGGTCTTTGAACAAGCCCTCCAATTTGGCGGATCAGCCGCGCTGCTGCGGGGAGAGGTGGCCAAATTGTTTTCCATCGCCGCCGATAGATAAGGGAAAATATTGATTTCGCAGCAAGAGAGGCGGAAAACATTATTTTTCGTGACTGCAGCTGCATATTTTGAGGGGGGCCGACGTCGAGAGACGCGTGTCATGCACGTGTATGGGCCTTTCTGCCGCAGACCCCATTCGCAAATAACGCGAAAATGCGTCAGGCAAGCTTTCGGTTTCCATCTTATCTGCAGCTCGCAGCTCGAACGATTATTTCCATGATCGTTATTTCACGCAGGATTTGTTCCTCAAAAATTAAATTAACAATTTCAGATTATATGGCCAAAGGGGCTGTTCGCACCATCGAATATTGAATTAATTAAATTTATTTCTGAATAGGGTTGATGTGATGAAATATTCAGATTAAAACTCAAAATACAAACTTACTATTTGTTTAAAAATTGTTTTTGTGGCTTTTTTAAGCTGATTGTTCTTTTCAAAAGGGAAATGTTGTTACACATTTTTAATAAAAAGTTTAATAATACCTTCATTGTTTTGAAGAAAAAATCATTTTACCCAATGATTTTTAGTATAAAAATCTCCAATGCTTTTATCTGATCAAATTTTTTACTTCAAATTCTGTTTAAAGGTTTAAATTTTTTTTATAAAATCTTTAAAGTTGAAGTTCGTGGGAATTATAAATGATATTGTAAGTTTGATCCATTAAACTCGGAAAGCCACTGCAGCAAATAATCTAAAAAATCAAAAGTTGCGCGTGCAAGTGACAATATTTGAGTTGGCGGTGACAACAATAAAGTTTCTCACTGTGGGCGGAACACACTTTGGAAGCAAAGTGCGCGACATTAACGAGCTCTCGCCGCAGCTCGAGGGGAAAGGGTGAGTTTCGCAGCCGGGGGAGTCTTTAATTGGCCTCCTACCGAGCGTCGCGAACCTTTTGATACAAACGCGAGCGCAAATTAAAATTTATACACAGTGAGCACTTTAATGATGTGCCTCTGTGTCGCTCGACCGGATGACACTCGCAGAGATGCCTGCCTGCCCGGACTGCGACTAATCAAATAATGGGCCGCCGTTCAGAGGAAAGAAGGCGGATCGAGGGCCAAAAATTGTAATATTGCTACAAGCAAGCAGAACCACCACCCAAAAATCACCCCCGCTGAACTTTATTGCGTCGAGATGAGAACAAGGAGATATTTATATTTTGACGATAAAGAAATTATTTTTAAATTTTGTATTCAAATAAAAACTTTAAAAAATTATCCATTGAGAAAAATGTCTTAAATAAAAAAATCACAGAATACATTTTTACGATATTGAAAAATAATTTTGAAGGATAAAACTAAATTGAATTGTTTAACTATTTAATTGCGTCTTATTCTTTAAACTAAAAAAAAGGATTTTAGAAATTTTTAGTCTCAACTTTGTTCCCATATGAGGCGCATTTATCGGTAGTCTCGTCGAATTTTGGACTTAAAAGTCAAAGCCTGCTCAAATTTATGGAACGTGGGCTTGAACTTTGTGATTTGATTAAGGTGCGTGTGAATGGCTCAAAATTTGTCTTGTTGTGCCGAGATTCGATTTGAATTACGCGCGTGCCCTTTGACAGCTCGCAAACCTTATTAAAACGCGATTAATCTCGCGCAAGGGTTACATTTGCATGCATTCATCATTCCTCCCGTTCCACTCGCGCTAACTCAATTACCAGCGACGCTCTGCTTCTGCTCTCTCCGCCTATTTGTTTGCAGAGCGAATTTACACACAAACTTACTTGCGTACAAATCCGTTCTTTAAATCTTAATGCTTTTTGCCATCTGTACAGCATTTTTTGTTAAGCAAATATTTATTTAATCCTCTGTAAATATGAGCATAGAAAAATTTGCCAGTTAGGATTTGTTTTAATAAAACAAATCTTGGTTAAAATCAGTTAAAATGATTAAATTTTATATAAGATTATTTATTATTATACTTATAATCATGCAAGTGTATTAATTTTTAAGATTTTTTGTTATATCAATTACTAGATTAAAATTTTTGATACTAAAGTGATTTTATAAAGTTATTTTCATATTTATCAGTATTTTTTTTGTCACTTCATTACAAATAAATTTATTAAAAAAAATTGCAAAAAAAAAATCATTTTCACAAATATAACTCAAAAGAAATTATAAATCTAGAATCATGTGGAAATATAAGAAAACTGCATATTTTTATAGAACGTGAGGACATGCAAGACTTCGTTGGCGTAATAGCAGCTTTTCTTCTTCGATGTAAGCAAATTATTACGTGCACAATCAAAGTAATTGGGGTAGTATTAAATAATGCAGCAGGTCTGCAATGCACGACAATAAATTGCACCCTTCCTCAACACGTTCCTTGCCGATGCACACGACCGATGCATTTTGCCCCGACCTCGCTCCTTTACTCTGAACCCATTACATAGTAAAATTGGTCTGATAAAATGCTCTATTTCCATTCGATCCTTGGAATTACAGACTGGAATCGACTTGGCATGAATGCACGCCGTGCGGCACAGCACATGCCGTGATTCAGGCAAAATACATTTAATATAAAAGAGCCGTTAAAAAAATCGACAGGTTGCAGTTGTAAACTCTGTCAATGCACTTAACAGAAACTGTGAGGAATGGCAGTAAAAGGAAAAAATCTTTTAGTTTTTAAACCTGTTAAAATTTTTTGTATTATTTACAGCAGCCAGTTAATTACAAACTTTTATATGGAAAAAATGTCACAACTTTTCAGTTCGTTTCTGGCTAAGTCGCATCTCTGACCTGAAAAATGAATGAATTATTTAAAAATCATGGCTAATAATGAAATATTTTAACTGGATTCAATTTGGCCGGGACATGTAGAGTACGCCTGAAATTGGTTTTTGTTAAATATTTATTTTTTTCTCTCATTCTCATGTATAATATTTATTACCAAAATCATGGATCTTTTTATGCATCTCAAAAGTCTGAAGGGTCCTAGCATGCACTTCTGACCAAAAGTATTATTGACGTGCGCCGTTATTTCTAATTCAGAAATGAAAAGAATGGTATTTTTATTAATTTTGAAATACTCTGAACTAAATTGAGTAAACCCACCTCCATATCCCTGAATTGAGCTGCACTCCACTCTGGCGTAATTAAGTAAATTGTTGAAGGGTCCGGGTGGAACAATTACAGCTAAATCCAGATACAGCAAATTTTCGTCGATGAAATTTTCTGGAGCAAGCTGAATTTAATCAGTGAAAAAATTTCTATCAAAACTAATCCAAAATTTAAAAAAATTTAAACTTGCCCATCTTCTTTGCTTGAATATGCAGTGAACCCTACACTATTTAATTTAGAATTTAAATAATGATATTTAAAATAAAATAATAATTTCTAAACGTGCTTACTATGTCTTCAATCTTGGACTTTACTTTAAATTAAATTTAATATATTTATTATCTATTCATATGTTGAATCTTTTTTTTGAATACTGGTGCTGTTTTTGGAAGCCAAACTTTTCCGATATGGAACCCTGACTGGACCGAACAATGCGCCGAAAATTCCTTGCCACAGAGGCAGGGTTCGCACAAGCTGCTGCGGTGTGCAAATATTGTTCACACTTTCCGTGTACAACCGCGGCACTTTGCAGCACCCGTCCATTCTCTGATGCGTTAAGATTGATTGCAGTCAGGGCAAGCAAACGCATTACGGAATAATGTTACCCTAAAGGCGTCCGCGGAGCAAACAAAGCCGTATTGGGGTGGAACGGCGGGGGTCGGAGCAACAGTTACCTCTTGACGTCTCACGCGAGAATGGCTGCTGCTTTTACGCAATTCTTTGTTGTGCCCGAGAATCATTATAGTGAATAAAAAGCTGAAGCTTGTATATTTGAGATCCTTTACCGTTCAAAAGTGCACGGGGCTGATAGAGCAAGTATTTCAGGCCGTCCATAAAATCCGGCGTTGTTTCCTGTAAAAATATTTACTTAAACAAGACAAAAATGTTACATAAAATTTACCAAAAAACTGTTTGCAGTCAAAAAAATCAGAAGATAATATTTTGGGAATCCTCTCATCATTATTATATCATTGTTTTTGAACGAAAATATTCTTTTATGAAATTTAACACAGAGTTTGCAGATTTGATCAACAGCCTTTGGCTTTGCCGGTCCGAGTGAACCGGGAAACAGGATGTGAAAAGCCATGACAGTGGCCGTGAGAGTGAAAACCTAAAGCAGCTGTCAATGAACGCTGCCTGTCTGATGACAACGTTCATTAATGACATGAATTGCAAATTTGAAATTTCAAAGCCAAAAACCTTTTCTTTCTCCCTTGAAAATATTCCACAAAAATAAATTAAATCTTATTGTAAACGACGTAAACATATTTTATTAAATTAGTTTTTTTCTAATCCACTACAGCAATGAATTTAAATATTATTTCCTCTAAATCAGAACTAAAAAAAAGACAAAAAAAACCTTAGGATTATTAGCTGAAGACTCCCTGCCATTATAGATTGCCTTTCGATTACGCTCTTTTATTGCTAAACTTAGATCATTATTTAAATTTAATTCGAAATTTGTATTTATTAAGCTGCAATGCATGAACTCATCCAAATATGTGACTAAACAAAGAAATGAAAATCAAGAGACAAAGAAACAATAGTAATTATGATAAAAAAAATTGATACTTCAGCGTTGATTTTATTAATATAACAGTTAATTTTATTTTTCTTCTTTTGCAAAAAGTACTACTTTTTATTTTACAGAGATGTTTGGTGTCCAACAAACTTGCTCATTAACATTAGCTTGTATCTATGACAATGAAGGGCGAGTGCGGTGGTTTTGATTCCCTTTGTAGCTGTGCCGCACGCGTGCCTGAGCATTTTGCCTCGGCAAGGCGCCCCGTCATTGCAGCGAATCAGTCGGGGCGGAATTCCTGGAGCCACCGCTGCTATGCATTCAATCACGCGAGCAAATCAACCCTTATACGCGGGCAGGGCTTTTGTGCGCCACCGCGAATACAAACTAAGTAATGAGGAGCCAAAGTGCCGCCGTCTGATCACTTCCAGACCGGGTCTATATAATGAAATGCCCTCTGAGCACAACGGAAAGATTTCGATCTGCTTGCGAAATATGCACGCACGGCCAGAAACAAAATAAATGCTTGCAGGGGGAGTAAAATCGACGAGAGGTGCACGACTGGCCGGGGTATGAGTGCGCACTGCAAGTCGTATAAAACGATGATGATAATGGGCGACGTCTGGCTCCAGGTAAAAACCCCACGACACTCAAAATTGGCAAAGTTAAATTATATTTAGAATTAAAAAAAAAAAACATCAATTTTGATCAAATATCCTGAATATCTTCTGATTAGGAAGGAAAATAAAATGAAAAAAAAAATAAATAAAATTTTTACTATACTGACAATGAAACATGGCAATAAAAGTTTATTAGTAATTTCTTGTTAAATAAATATTCAAACAAAATAAGTGTGTTGCAATAGATCAGGTTGCAGTGAAATGTTTCTTTTTTTCGCAATATTTATTTTATCTCTACAGAAGCAATTAAAACTGGAAAATATACCAAATCCTTAAACCATTTTTATTTTTCTTATTTGTTCTTGTGTTTGATTTATTTTTTTTATTTATTGCCATTAAAAAATGAAATTTGTATTTGATAAGAAGTTGGCTTAGGTGTCTAGATGAATGGTGGTTATGCATAGACGGGGGGTGTGTTGGACTCCCCCGCGTATACCTAAACAGGGGCGTGAGTCATATCAAGTCATGAAATGCACGAACGGCGCCTCCGCGACTGCACGCGACCCCGGCTGGCGAGTGTGACTGAATTTCGGCGCCTGATTATAAATAATAACATTTTGCCGCGTGTTCTGTCTGGCGAGCTCTCGTGAGCCCAAAACGATTCTCCAGAGGAATTTTAAGGACAATTAAAGTGAGTGAAACGTGCATGTCCCAAACTGATGTTCATCTACCAAAGTCGCTTCTCATTAATTTATCCTAGCAGCGGATTCATGCAATTACCCTAATTACTTAATTGCGTAAAAGCTTTCATTCTCTCTCATCAATTTAATTGTTACTAACAGAAGAAACAAACAATTTTCCAATTGATAGGAAATAATTTTTGTAATAAATCCAATAACAGAGTTTAAAAATTAAGATTTAGAAATAGAAACAAATTAATTTTTTATGGTTGAAACTATTTATATAGGAATTATATTTCATCGCGCCTTCAATTATTTCCGTGGAAAATTCGCATCTGCTCTTGAGGATTTCCAATTTCCACATCGCGGATAATAAAAGAGAAAGTGAATCAGTGAAAAGGATCGCCCTAGGCAGGCGCTCCTGCACTAAATAGATTCCTTCCTTTCAACTCCCCCGCCGGCTCACCTGCCAGAAGAAGGTGAATCACAATAATAAAGTCCCCCCAGCGCAGGAGGAAGTGCGGTGTGCATGACTCAAGGTGTGGCTGGCCGTCTCTCTTTTTAACCCTCATCCCTTCTTCCTCTGCACTCCCCCTCGCAGTCATCTCATAATTCGATCCTATTTCCTTCTTTTGTTGTGCTCCTGGGCAAGGTGAAGAACAAGTTCAATGAGCACTCGGTTTCGGGGTAAGAAAGAAAAGAGAGGCGCATATGGTCTTGCGCGGGGTCTTTAAACTTTATCAGCAGCACAGGTGATGAGAGCAGTTGTTGTTGAGTTTTGCTTTGTTTGCTGCTTTTCACGCTCCAAAGGTGCACGTCCTGCTCTCGTTTCACAAATATTCTTTTCGACAGAGGCTGAGCCTGATTGTCAAAATATTTCAAAAAAGCAGCAGGTCGCGTGCTGCTGCAAAAGAATGGAAAGGTGTCTATTGTCAAAAGGGTTCAAAGTACCTTCAGGAGGGTTGTTGAACCCAGAAGGAGTTCAAAATGAACTATAATTGGAAGATGTCATGAATCAACAGGCTTGGCAATGAAAAGTGAATTAAAAAAAAAAAAATAGCGATCCATAAATATAAGTTTTATTAACTGTTATTCTATTTTTAGTATTTTTATTTGTGGTTTTTTCTATAAAAAAAGGGTGAAAAAATAAAATTTAGTCAGTTCAATGAGTATTTTTTATTTTTAAAATAATTTTTTCAAATAATCAAACATAAGATTACGCTTCATAATCTACTTGGGATAATTCAAATTTCAATATTTTCTTTCAAATTAAATTTTAATTATTATTTTTTTTTGTAGCACATGTACATTTTAGTAATCAAAATTGTTCCCTCTTATTATGAACCACGTTATAAATCCCCGTGCAGAAATAAAATCCATCACGGGCCTTATAGAATAAAAAAGACAAGCGGAAAAAATGAGCAGCTGCTGATCTGAGTCGCAGGAATTCGTGCTGCGATCTAATCACCATAATAATCGCTGCAAATGAGAATTACCTGAAGCGAATGGCCACCCCCCTGCACAGCAGCCACCCCATTCCGGAACTGCTGGATGAAAAATAATAATTCACAGCTATTTTTCCTATCACGTGACGGCGGGGCCATCACACAAATTAATGTGTGCTGCGTGCATTATGGTCCTCTGGAATTAATGAGAGGGATATTCTAACATGCCTGTGCACTCTGCCGGGAAAGAGAGGCAGATGTTTTGGAAAAAAATATATGTTCAATGTGTCCCGAGATCGGGGGTCACGCTTCTCTTGATCGGGGTTGCTGTCCTGCTGCTGCTCTGGTTTATAGGGAAAAGTGTCTATCAATTATCAGAGCATTCAGAGCAGTAAACTATGGAATTTACAATTAGTGAAAAATTGAGGATTTTTAAAGGAAAAATTCGCTAGCAATAAAATATCACTTATTTTTATTTGACTTGCAAAATAAAACTTTTATTTTTTTAAGTAATTCATACATTTATTTAAAATTATTTTCCCTTATTTTGTAATTATTTTACCTTGAAGTTTCAAAAAATTTCTTATAGTGATTTCTATAATGATATATGAAGTTTCAGCATATATGTGCTACTTTCAATAATAAAAGAAGGAAAAAAATTACAAATCATCCATTTTTTACACAAACTATACTAAAAATCTGTAAATTCAAAGTGCACAATTAATTTTGTAAGTTTTATATTAAAGAAGAAAATGGAGACAACTAAAATTATTGTTTTTGCAAATTGTTCATCTCAATAGGTGCAGGCTGTGACGTTAATGAATTAGGTTCATTGTTTATTTCTTTCGGTGCAATGTAGAAAATTGAATAGAGTAAAATCTCTCCAAAAATTAAACACAACGCATTCATGTGCATCGCAATCGGGCTATGCAACTGAAAGACGTAGAAAAACAAGTTGAAGATATCATTAAAGAAGTTCAGAGTGATCGTGAGCCTCAAGAACACCAGCTGTAAACTGCAAATTTTTATTAATAAAAATATCTTTGTTAGGGCGTTAATTTTAAATATTAAAATTAATCAATATATTAATTATTATTTTACCTTTTATTCCGATTATTAGTCGGAGCAACCATTTTAAGAGACTTGATTGTAGAGCGAATATCAGAACCTGCCCTGTAGTTGAGAATGAAGAATAACACGTAAAAGGCTAATTTTGTCCCATTAAGTCCGTAAGTGTTCACTGCAAAATGGGTAATTATATTTAATTTTTGATGTCGGTGTCGTTTAAAAATAATTATTTTACGTAATGCTGCATATACTTTGGATCTGTCCCAGTCAACAATTAGAGGGTTAATCTCAAAAAAGAAGTTAACTACACCAATAAATGCAGTGCTCGACCAGGCGATGATATGATAGGCGATAATTTTTGCTTTCATATCAATAATTGTTCTTCCTTTAATTCTGAATGTTGGAAAAAATAAGCAAATGATAAAATAAATTGTTTGTTTTAAACCTTGAAATTGTGTAGCAGTCGTAAATGTACAATACAATCCAGATCACTGATGACATGGATGCCATGGATGTTGCGAAAAGAAATGCTGTCAATATTAAAATTGCATGAAAATCATAGATGCCAGTTTAATTTGAAAATAATTACCCTCCAACTTGATTGAAGTTTGCTGAGGAACGAACACGTGGGACATTGTCCCAGTGCTTGATATTAGGTTAGAGATTGCGTAGAACAGAAGACATTGATTGCTTGGTAAATTGAACTGAGCGGAGAAAAGAGTTGTCAGCAAACACAGCGAGAAGAGAAATGAGCCGATGTAGGACGAAATACAAATGTTATCCAGTAGCATTTTCCTGTCCATAGTATTCCAATATTCAATCTCAAAAATCTCCTTTGCTTTTTGATAAATTGAAATGTCTTCAAATGCTTGAAGCTTTTTGCAAAAGGAGGGCATTGTTGCAGAATTGTTTAAGATTTGAAGCCAATTAAAATTATCAAGGTCCTCCTCTTCCACATCCTTGTTTAGAAAGTTGCACGGAACGATCGACTTTTCACCAATTATGATATGTGACCATGAGTTGGCGTAACAAACACCTTGACAGTCTCCGCATATTTTTACATCAGTAGAGCGTTGATATTCATTGAGGACTGAATAAAGCTGGAAGTAAAACTGGCCATCTTTTTGGTAGCATTGCGCCTCAAACTCTGCGACAATGCTGGAATTTTTTTCCTCAACGGTCAAGTCTGTTAGTAGAGAGAATAATTTTGAATTATTACAAGCTGGATTAAATATTAATGATTAATAATTATGATTTTTTTATTAAAACATAACTTCATACTTTATTAAACTTACACGAACAAGCTGCGGACAGCATGATATGAATATCTTCTAAAGTTCCAAAAATTTTGCGCAAAATCAAGTATTCTGCATGACTTTTGATTTTTCTTGACCTGCATTCGTCTACAGATGACATATATGGCTGAAGCAGCTAATTGAAAATTATAATAAAGTAAATAAATGTTTGCGACGATGTACCCCGTCTGGAAGAGCAGTATTTGTCTTCTTTTTAAATTTTATTTTGTCATTTGTGATCTTATCTACTTCAAAAGTTACAAATATTTAATCTATTCAAGCTGAAAATGCTAATAAAAAGTTCTTAGTTCAATACCGATTTTTTAGATATTAAATCCTGCTTCATTGCCTGGTAAATGGGATGATTCGTAAGAGCACTCATGGAGAGTTCATCTTTCACTATTTAAATAGAAATATCAGCGTTCTTAGGGCACATAAAATGAAGAAGGAAATACAAACCATTTTTTATGTATATTGGCTTTTCAAAGACATAAGTGGTGAGGAGGATACCAGCAATCACAACTGACCAGATGGAGAGAACAACTTTTTCCTGCAACAACATTGTCCCAAGTGCGTTTTACAAATGTTCTGAATCTGTTGCACACAAAAGGCAAGGAAGTGATAAAAATAATCAGTGCCAGCAGCAATTTTGTGGTGGCGAAAACCGCCTACAATTAATATGATTCTAGCGACTCAATTATCTCGACATTTCCGCTTTCTACAAGCCAAATCAATCCTCATACAGACAATTCTTTTAATGTGTAACTGCTATAAGGGTGCCTATAAATTGTATAACTTTCGATAATTTTATGTTGTACTGATTGAATTTTGTGTGCTATTCGTGCGATCGTTTCTACGTAAATATATTCCACAATTAATTAGTTGAAATAATTAATTTTTGTTTTAAATTATTATATTAATATTGTTTTGGAATAATTGATAAACTGCACTTGTAAAATTTCATTTATTTTTATTGTTTTCCAATCCGTATACTGTGGTAATATATTACAAAATTTTAATTTTTTGAGCATTGCTTATTAATAAACACAAAATATTTGAAAATTCGAAAAGTCCCTCACAATATCTACCGCGCTCTTTTAAATTTTTTGTCATAAAAATAAAAAGTTCATCTTCACAAAAAGAAATAATTCCACAAAATAAATTTATTGTGGTGTTTGCAATAAAATTACAAGATAAGTACACTTGTTATTGTAGAGCACTTTTCATTTTCCATGCAGGATCTGCAAAATAGCTGCAACCAAAGGAACGCTTGAGTGATCTTGTCACTTGTTCAGGGAGGAAACGCAGCTTTTAGCACAACTTGCATTTCTATTTTCCTGTCATCCGTGGCGAATAGTCTTTTCCCTTGATAGCCGCTCAACCCCCGGCAATAAAACAAACACGAAATTCCGCCCCGCACATCACACCTGCCCGTCATCCAGCTCGGCTGAAAGAGAAATTCATTTCCACGTAGAAATTCGAAAGAGGGTCCGACCGGTCTAGAAAGGGGTAGGCCCCGAGTAAAAAAATAATGTGCATGAATCAGCTCATTACGCTACATGCAGTGCAGCTTGTCACTTTCGCCTCCCCTTTCGGAGGCAGACACGCGACCACGCGCTCGCAGCCAGGTGCGGCTCTTTGCTTTGGGGTGGAGCTGCAATACAATATAAAATAGGTGCAGCTGCCTTTGTGCTCCTCGAATCTGATCAAAAAGTATGTGTGCTGATCTCTCCGCTTTGTCCGAGCTTTCTTTTTTTTTTGTCTGCCAGCGCGGTACGTGCCAGGTGGCTCTTCTTTTCGCTTTTGCAGCCGCGACCCTGCAGCGACGGAATTTTCACTTTTGGCGCGAATCGTCCCTTTTCGCGCAACCAGCGCTGCACCTGGACCGCGTACCTCTGTACTGCTTTGGAATGTATATTTTCAAAACGCCACCTCATTCAGAAAATAAAATAACAGAAAATATATTGCGATTTGTGTAATTAATATCTGGGCGCGACTTTTCCGGAACTCAAGGTGAGGGTTGAAACTTATGCACTCAAGAAAAAGGCTTTCAAGTAAAAAGTTGTTTAATTTTAATTATTAATTCTAACTAATTAATATTTATTATATATTAATCATATATTTATGGATTATAATTTAAATATCTATCAGGCCGCAAAAACAAATTTAAATTTTTTCAGTTGCAATAAAGGTATAGATTGAAGAAGCTTTATATTGTTATTAAATTTGGTGAAATTGAATTAAAGCAACAACTGATATTTGTTGTGACACAATTCATTACAAACTGAATAAAATAATTTAAAATGTTTAAATAACTAACATGTATTTATTTATTTATATTTTAATTTAAATGAAACAATAATTAAAATAATTAAAACGTTAATCAAAATTATAAGTTTTATTTATTATAAAACAGATTTTTATTTTTAGTTTTGTTAGACGTGTCACTTTCAGCACTGATTACAATGAAATCAGCGGCTTCCTCGTCAAATAAAGAAAATTATTTCACCCTCGCTCTCGACGCTTTCCCCTAAAGAGCCGCAAAAAAACAAACTCTCCGACTGTATGAGTGGTAGAAAAAGACGTGGGGAAATCATAGGTCTTTCCCTCGAGTGTTTGTGGCTCATGGCGCAGAATAAAGTGCGTCTCAGTCAATTACTCCAAAGTATTATGCTGCACTTTGAATAAAAAAATTTACAACCTGCCCTGCAGGGAAAGGAAAATGACTTGGGGGCGCGCGTAGATCAGCTGCCGATGAATGAGCTGAGAGATTTGAATGGAGGGATTTGGTCTGAAGAAAGCGAAAGCTCATTAAAATCTGGCCCTAGCTATAGCTGTCGTGAATGGGCGACCGAGGGTCTATTAAGGGTCTCCCCCAAAGGAGTCTCTCGGAGGAAGGAGGCGGAGCTGCGTCGTAGGGCCCTTTAATGAGGTTGCAGCTGATGTGCATGCGGCCGCAGAAGCCACACTAATTCTTTCGAGATTGATTACCTGCTTTCAGGGGCACGAGACACACATTTAGTCCGAGCTTTTCGTACCACTTTTTAGTGACAATTGAGACAAGTGGACGGTCAAACAGGAAGTTGTACGTCGGTTGCTCTTTTTTCATTTAAATCATTTTAACAATCCGTCCTGTGTCACCTGAGGGACTGGTGATTTTAAAAATGAATTTTTTTTAATGTTTATAATAAATTTTGCAAGCTCATTTTCCGGTAATTTAAGAACTTGTTTTATTAATTTAGAAAAGTGAAGATGATTGATAAATTTTAAGATGTTAAAATTTTGGAGAGTTAAAACTTGGAGGTATAAAACTTTTTCCTATAAAAATAAATAACAAATTATAAATTATTTACGAAGAAATAAAAACGGCGTTTCAAACGTAAAAAATTGTTTAAGCACGAATAAAATTTTTTGCACAATTCTACTCCATCTCTTTACTTATGGAAATTGATGTAGTTTAAGTTTTGAAAAGAATCTATGCAGGAGCATTATAAAGAACCGCGGGTGGTTTTTGCTACAACTGCGCGCAACAGCAAAACCGCCGATCGAATACAGAAAGTACGCAGAGGAGCGACGAGATTAAACATTTTTCAAAGGAGAGACCTCATCACCATACACAGGAGAGATTTTTCCATACAGAGGCAAGTAATAACTTCTATCTGCTGTGGCGGCTGCGGGAAAATAGAGCAGCAACAGCATGGGGTCGAGTTCCCACATGTTGGCGGCCCTTTGAAGACGGATTACTATTTGCTGCTGCTGTGCAAATGTGCGTAATCTTTTGCTCTCTTTATGGAAATTTCCTCAGATTTGAACATGAATGCGCGTATCAAAATTGATACGCCGCTCACTCACACATACGCAAGCTCCACCCAAACGAATATTAAAAAAATTGCGTCGCTGATTGAAAATAAAAATGATCCCCTTTACTGGAAATTGTAAAAAATCATATATACAATTTTTACAGTGCTCCCATAGTGCTTCAACCTTTTTCATTTGAATACTATAGAGTTTTTAAATCAAGCAAGTATATACCTATGTTGCAAAAAGCTTTTGAAATATAAATGAGTTTTCAATCTGGAGAGCATAGGGGCAACGCCTTTAAAGTGATACGGCCGATTACAATCACATTAGTTTCCCCCGAAATCACATTCCCAGCAATTCTCAAGTGGATCATGTGAACAACCCTTTGCGCGCCACAGGTATCCATCCAACCCTCAGCTTTGGTGCATGAGAATGCAACAATAACAAAAACCATTCTCAAGATTCTTTCAAATGCCCGTATCAATTTAAAGTGCAGATTCGAAATCTGTGTGCGTGCAAAGTGCGTCTCGAGATTTTAATTGCTTTTCTACCGTTTCCCTCGATTTGGTGATGGGGGCTTCGAGTTACTTAATGGAAATTAACCATCAAGTGCTCAGCCTTGATGAAAAAAAAACTCTTTTTGCCAAAGAGCAGTTTAATAACTCTGTGGAATTTTTAATAACAAGACTGGCGTGCAATTATGTACTCATTAACGAGCTGAAGAGTTTCTTTCTTCGGTGTGCGGATAATTTTTAATAACTTTCTTCGCTCGTAAATAGAGAGAATGGAAAATCTTGTGGAACACTCAAGAGGAGCATAAAGAGTTTCAATGAGGAGCGTATATAATGAAGTTTTGTTGTTTTCCATTAACAACGGACAATTTTATTGAAGCCAGCAAAATTTACAGAGCCATTTTGATTAAAGGAAATTCTTATCTGCTGGGATGAAAAACGAGGGCTGAATTTAAGTTTAAAAGTTAACAGCAAAAACTTGTGATGCTTGGCCAAAATTTCTTGATTCATTAAAAATTGTATGCGTCCAATTTATCGTTAGTAGAAAAATATTGGAACGTGCTGTAATAATATAAAACAATCAATTTATATTAATTGAAATTATGTTTGATCTAAAACTTTATATTTAATTTAATCGTTGAAATGAAAATGAGTGATAAACCAAATAATCCTAAAAACTCTGTAAAAGAATAAGGCTTTAATTAAATTGAAAATCACTTTTCTTATGGTTTCTGGAAAACTTTAATTTCAGGAAACATTTTTGAACCCCCGGAGGCTAAAAGGCAAATCGCATGGCTTTCTTTTTCTGCCCCCCCCCCCCCGCCCCCCGCTGGAATAAAAAATAAACACGACCGCCAATCTGAGAGCGAAGTTGCTTATTCCGCACCCCGCCGAGCAATTTGCAGATTTCCACCCTCCACCCGCCGCACACATTTACAAAAGTCAGAGTCACGTGGCTTACATTTATTCATTTCTCTCACTCGAGGGGCCACTTCTCATCAGAAATCCCATTTCGAGTCGACGGCTGGTCGGGCGCGCGGCCACATTTTATTGAACACGAAACAAAACAACAAATGTCGATGGCTGGCTCGTTACTTTCCTTTTTAAATTTTAATCGATCGAAACAGACATAAAAAATGCACCTGGTGTTTTAAAACCGGCTTTCCCCTCGGCGTCTTATATACCTTCCACCCCCGAACGAAAGGAGAGAGAATAAATTTACATGCACCTTTGGCTTTATATACGTGATGAGTCATTCATTCTATGCTGATACTATCCGCATTG